AAAGGAAGACCATTGCATTTATGAATTGCAATTTCACTTATACTACTGTTACCAAAGGTGAATTATGTGCTTGCCTTAAGTTCTTTTTTTTTTTTTGTCTAAAGTTTTACATATGTCTCCTTTTTCCCCGATTGACCGCCCACCCCCGCCATTTCACCCCCCAAGGGCAAGCCCCCACTGCCCCAGTGTCTGTGTCCATTGGTTACGCTAATATGCATGCATACAAGTCCTTTTGCTTGCCTTAAGTTTAGGAGTATGCCTAAATCAGGGATATTAGATATTATTCCCTAAGTAAATGTATTTCTATATATATTATAGATTTATATTTTATGAATTATATTTTATTCCAGGAAGCCAAAAGCTCAGCCAATACCTTGCCATAAATAATCTTAAAAAATAAGTGCTTTCTAAAAGTTATAAATGATTAAACTAGCTTTGTAATTAGAGATACTAGGGGATGCCTACTGTTTTTGCCTGTACACTTTCTTTCTGCCTTCCTTGGGCTACTGAGCCAATGACTATCATGTATGGCCTCTCAAGGGTTGTGTGGTGCACAGCTCCAGGAGCCCCATTCACATAGACTATGACATGAATTAGAGTTCCAGAGCTGTACAACGTGTTGGCCCTGACTTACGTAGTTCTTGGTAAATTTTCTTCATCCACCTCCATAATCCAACATGCGCTTTAGGTCTGGTCCCTTGCCACAGAAGTGGACATCTGATCTAAGCCAGTCAATCAGACAATTATCTCTAGAAATCACCATTGATTATTGTAGGTATAGGCACGTGACCTGAAGAAACCAACCAGCACCACTTATAGGACCTATGTGGATGGTAGGAGAAAAAGAATCTCTCCTGAGATTTCTAATACTAAGAAGCATGAAAGCCTAAAGCTACTAGGGGTCCTTTTGCTACACAACAGTAAAAGCCTACCTGCAAGTAAAGTCAACATAGAGGAAAGCAAAACTAAAAGAAGCAGAAAAAGGGACAGATTCTTTTTTTTTTTTAAGGAAACATTTATTTATTTTTTATTGATTTCAGAGAGGAAGGGAGGAGAGAGAAATAGAGACATCAATGATGAGAGAGGATCATTGATAGGCTGCCTTCTGTACGCCCCCTCCTGGGGATGGAGCCTGCAACCCGGGCATGTGCCCTTGACCGGAATCGAACTGGGAACCTTTGCTCTATCCACTGAGCCAAACCGGCCAGGGCAGGGACAGATTCTTAATGATATGGTTGATCCCCTGCTCTGCCTAAACTACCTTGAGGATTTGGGTTGTACATGAGCTAACAGGTTCCCTCCCTTGTTTAGGAGAGTTTCAATTGGATCTCTGTCACTTCAACCCCGAGAGTTGGCTAATAAGGATGCATGAACAAAACCATAAATCAGGAACTCGGAACTTGTTTTCCATTTAACAGATTACAACAATGGTGATGTCATTTCTCTGCCCACAGCTCTCCAGTGGCTTCTCATCTTCTCCAGAGAAAAAGCTAACTGTCCACATATGGCCAGTAGGTCCCTACATTATCTGGCTTTCTCTCCTCCCACGTCCCCCCATTTGCTGACTATGTATCTGGAACCCTGACCTTGGTGATCCTTGCCATGCATACTTGCTGTTTCCTCCGCCAACTTTGTTCTCTGTCCATAAGTCAACTCCCTCATTAACCCATCTAAGACCTTCCCTTCCCTCTGTACTGTTTCCTAGGGCTGCCTTAACAAAGTACCACAAACTGGGTGGCTTACACAACAGAAATGTATTGCCTCACAGTTCTAGAGGCTAGAAAAGTCTGCGATCAGGGTGTTGGCAGAGTTGGCTTGCTCTCAAGGCTGTGAGGGAGAGTCTGTTCCATGCCTCTCAACAGCTTCTGGTTAGTTTTCTGGCCATTTTTGGTGTTCCTTGGCTTGTAGAGGCATCACCCAGATCTGCCTTTATCCTCACATGGTGTTCTCTGTGTGTGTGTGTGTGTGTGTGTGTGTGTGTGTGTGTGTCCAAATTTCCTCTTTTTTATAAAGACACCAGTCGTATTGGATTAGGACCCACCCCCAATGACCTCATCTTGACTTGATCACCTTCAAAGATCCTATTTTCTTTCTTTTTTTTTTTTTTTTCAAAGATCCTATTTTCAAATAAGGTGACAGTCACAGGACTTCCAACATCTTTGGGGGGACACATTTCACCCATAACACTTCTCTTATGCTATTTTTCTTTGCAGTGTGTATCACCATCTGACATATAAGCTTATGTTTTTACCAACCTAATGTCTCTCCCCCAGTTAGGGTGTAAGTTCCATGAACATGTGGATATAACGTTCAAATATGTGTTAAATGAGTTGAATGCTAAACAGAAAACGAGGCTCTCCTATTTTTAAATACTAAAGTCTGAAACTTCTTTTTGCATAATCAACTATTTGAGGAAACTAAGGTTTCTCAGATGTCTATATTCAGAGTCTCAAGACTCACTGGAGATCTATCCAGACGCTCTGTAACTCCATTCCTTTGAAAATAGAAACACTCTGAAGAAGAATGGAATCTGGGAGTGGTAGGTGGAGAAGGGGGCATGTGAGAAGTGGTGAAAGTTGAGTGAGGTTAAGAGTGGTCAAGCTCCGGCAAAATCTATAAGTAGTGATCTTGATTTCAGAGAGGAAGGGAGAGGGAGAGAGAGAGAGAAACATGCCGGTGGCCTTCAATGGAGTTACATTGTTCTCATTACCCATTAAAAAGTATTTTTAATGTGAAAACAGATTTTGCCTGCTGCAGATATTAGAACTTACCCCTCTGGCATTTATTGAGATGTATTATCCATGTAAACTTGATCAAGTTGTATTATCATTATCTGTCTTTCACCTGATGCCCCCGTTAGAATATGAGCTGAGGGACAGGGGCTGTGTCTTTGCTCACCCACAGGCAGTCAAAAGACAAGCAGTAAATTAAAATATTTGGCCCTACCTGGTTTGGCTCAGTGGATAGAGCATCGGCCTGCAGACAGAAGGGTCCCGGGTTCAATTTCTAGTCAGGGCTCATGCCCGGGTTTCGAGCTCGATCCCCAGTGTGGGGCATGCAGGAGATAGCCAATCAATGATTCTTTCTCATAATTGATGTTTCTCTCTCTCTCCCTCTCCCCTCCTTTCTAAAATCAATAAAAATATATTTTTTTAATTTTTTAATTAAATCTTTATTGTTCAGATTATTACATTTGTTCCTCTTTTCCCCCCCCATAACTCCCCTCCTTCCAGTTCCCACCCCACCCTCCACCCTCACTCCCCACCCACTGTCCTCATCCATAGGTGCACGATTTTTGGCGTCTCTTCCCGCATCTCCCACACCCCTTTCCCCCCCAAGAATAGTCAGTCCATTCCCTTTCTATGTCCCTGATTCTATTATAATCACCAGTTCATTCTGTTCATCAGATTATTTATTCACTTGATTTTTAGATTCACTTGTTGATAGATGCATATTTGTTGTTCATAATTTGTATCTTTACCTTTTTCTTCTTCTTCCTCTTCTTAAAGGATACCTTTCAGCATTTCATATAATCCTGGTTTGGTGGTGATGAACTCCTTTAGCTTTTCCTTATCTGTGAAGCTCTTTATCTGACCTTCAATTCTGAATGATAGCTTTGCTGGATAAAGTAATCTTGGTTGTAGGTTCTTGGCATTCATCACTTTGAATAGTTCTTGCCACTCCCTTCTGGCATGCAAAGTTTCTGTTGAGAAATCAGCTGACAGTCGTATGGGTATTCCCTTGTAGGTAACTGAGTTTCTTTCTCTTGCTGCTTTTAGGATTTTCTCTTTGTCTTTTGCTCTTGGCATTTTAATTATGATGTGTCTTGGTGTGGTCCTCTTTGGATTCCTTTTGTTTGGGGTTCTCTGCGCTTCCTGGACCTGTAAGTCTATTTCTTTCACCAGGTGGGGGAAGTTTTCTGTCATTATTTCTTCAAATAGGTTTTCAATATCTTGCTCTCTCTCATCTTCTGGCACCCCTATAATTCTGATGTTGGTACGCTTGAAGCTGTCCCAGAGGCTCCTTACACTATCTTTGTATTTCGGATTCTTTTTTCATTTTGCTTTTCCAGTTGGGTGTTTTTTGCTTCTTTGCATTTCAAATCTTTGACTTGATTCTTGCGCTCCTCTGGTCTGCTGTTGGGAGTCTGTATAGTATTCTTTATTTCAGTCAGTGTATGCTTAATTTCTAGTTGGTTCTTTATCATAACATCGAGGGTCTCATTAGATTTCTTGTAGATCTCATTAAGTTTATCGGCAGCTTCTAGACAGTTCTTGAGAGACCTTAAAAGTGTGGTTCTGAACTCTATATCCTCCCTTGACAATTTTGTCCTGTTTCTTTGTCTCTGCATTTTTTTATGCTTTCTTGGTGCACCCCCTAGTGGTCTTTGTGCGCAGTCTTGTTGTAGTAAAGCCTTGATTGTTGTAGTTAATACTGGGGGGATTTGACCTCCAGGCCAACTGGCTGTGAGAATCAGCAGTGTCTGCAGTGGGAAAACTTCTGTCCTCTGGGGAGGTGCTAATCTAGCCTTTGCCTGAGGCTATCCGGCAAATGGCTCTGTGCAAGGCTTGGGCAGGGCAGGTGGCATGGGATCAACAGGGCGGGTGGAGGGAGCAGTTATGGCTGCTCTTAGTCCCGTCCCCAGAGGCTCTGCCTCTCAGAGTCCCAGCAACCGCTGCAAACCTCGGAGAGAAAGCTGGCCTCACGTTCCAACCGATGCCAGACAGTCCCGTTTCTCCCGTCTGAGTCTGGGTCCCCAGAGACTTGCCCAGAACTGGAGCCCCGAGCCTGAGCCTCCCTCCCGACTGAAAACGACAACCGCGCCCTCAGCCACCAGCCCGCTCTGTGCGCACCTCCGCACCTTTGTATTTTCCGCACTGCGCCTCCTCTGAGTCTCAGTATGCTGTTCTCTTTCCTTATAGTAGAAGAACTTCCCCTCAGCCAGCTTTCCTGTGGTTCTGGGTGATGTCCGTTCCGTCTTTTAGTTGTATTTTTGAAGTGGTTGTGCGAGGCAGCAATCTCTGGTGTTTACCTATGCTGCCATCTCGGTTCTCTGGTTGTCAATAAAAATATTTTTTAAAAAATTAAAATATTTGCAGCATACACACGTAAAAAAGTTAAGCTAAGGCTTTTATAAATCAACTAGAGGTCCGATGCATGAAATTCGTGCAAGAGTAGGCCTTCCTTCCCCTGGCTGCCGGCACCGGCTACCCACCGACACCCAGGACCCGGGCTGGCTTCCCTTCGGCTCTGGCTTCATCTGGAAGGATGTCTGGTCTAATTAGCATATTATGCATATATTATTATAGATAAGATAAAGGACCCAGTGGATCAAAGGAAGTACAGATGCCATATAAACACATGAAAAGTTGATCAATCTTGGCAGTAGCCAGGGAAATGCATTAAAAAATAACAGAATTAAATTTTTGTTCATCTGCTTGGCAAAAGTTGAAAAGATTGATAATTTCCAAGCTTGTGAGAGTGGAAATAATCAGACACTCTCATACTTTTGGGTGTGCGATAGTATGTGGAACTATATGTTCACATTCAAAATATACTGACTTTTTGACCTAAAAGTCTCATATTTAGGAATCTATCCTACAAAAACAGGAGGGGGGCAGCCCTCAAAATGATATATATCAATAGGGCTCCCGGATTACTATAGGAAAGACATGGGTACCCATTTGTTTTTTTGTTTGTTTGTTTGTTTGTTTTTAATATATATATTTTATTGATTTTTTTTACAGAGAGGAAGGGAGAGAGATAGAGAGTTAGAAACATCGATGAGAGAGAATCATCGATCAGCTGCCTCCTGCACATCTCCCACTGGGGATATGCTCGCAACCCAGGTACATGCCCTTGACTGGAATCGAACCTGGGACCTCTCAGTCCGCAGGCCGACGCTCTATCCACTGAGCCAAACCGGCTTCGGCCCCATTTGGTTTTAAACAAATCAAGAACATGGTTTTTGCCCTAACTGGTTTGGCTCAGTGGATAGAGCTTTGGCCTGCGGACTGAAGGGTCCCAGGTTCAATTCCGGTCAAGGGCATGTACTTTGGTTGCGGGAACATCCCCAGTAGAGGGTGTGCAGGAGGCAGCTGATCAATGTTTCTGACTCTCTATCCCTCTCCTTTCCTCTAAAAAAAAATCAATAAAATATATTTTTAAAAAAAAACATGGTATTTTACAGAGTGAGAAGAACCTAGATTTTTCCTGGGGAAAGGGAGAAGTTGAGGGTCAGGGAAATACGTGAGATTTGAGGGTTTCTAGGGTGAAAGGGGAGGCTCACCGAGAAATGTGATGAGTGTGAGGCTGGCATGGGGTACCTGGAGGCTCTCTGATGCTCCCCCACCATCTGCCTCCCAGCAGGAACAGCGTGGGTGGCTGGGCCACCGCGAGCTCACAGTCTCACGCTTTCCCAGGCAGCCGCAGCCCTGACTGAGGCAGGCGGTGGGCAGGCCTAGACATTTCCTCCAAGCTGTGCTTTGCCTTTTGTCAAGTCTGCCCGGGTTGGATGGCTCCCGTGCCCAAACCTGCTTCCTTCCCCTTTGTCCTCACAGCTTTTACTCCCCCAGAAACCTTTCCCACTGCTTCCCTGCCTCAGCACCTGCTCCCCAGAGAGCCCCACGGGCACAGCGAAAGACCCCTCACTTGCAACTACTGAAGTCTCACATGCTATAAAGTGGGACTTTCAAAAGACCCCTAAAGGAACTGTTTCTCATTTTAATTTCAAGTTCAGGAATTAAAGCCAAATAATTGCCAGTTTGTTCTCTGCCACAAAGTCACAGCTTAACTTTAGCTGGTGAGTGGCTTTGTCTGGGTGGACAATCACAAATTCTCTCAGGAGCATACTCTTTTCTTGTCATTAAAGAGAAATGAAATAAGGGGGGGGCTGCAAATATTGCTGTAAAACTTCCTCATTTTTATGAGCAATCTTCATTTTAGAATAAGAAAGGATCTTGAAGTTTATTTTCATATGAGACCCTCGTTTTGCATCGAGCTCTTATCCAAAGAGCCCTTCCAAATTGTCCTCTAGGTCTCCGGTTATAAAAGCAGACAAACAGAAAACGACTCTGCAGCTGTCTTAGTAAAAACAGTTAATTTTCAAGGAATTATAACTTGTGTTTGACTTATTCAGAATTATTGTAGTTACCCCCACTAGAGAAACTAGTATGTAAGTTATTAGGTAGAAGATAAAGTTTGAATCTTTAAGATCTAATGTTGTTTTTTTTCATTTGGATATATTTTTGTTTTCGTTGTTTATTAAACTTAACCAATTGTAGTTCTTAAAAGGACAATTCAGTTTTCTTTTTCAGAAAAGCAACACAGAAGGCCACTTGGCGTTTCAGTCTATATATTGGGGAATTTGCAAGCATATTAATTCAGTGTAGTATTTTTGGAGGGGAAGGGGCATTCTGTGTTTTGTTAAGAAGAAACATGACTTTAAAATATATAACTTATTTTTTTAATATATTTTTTATTGACTTCAGAGAAGAAGGGAGAGCGAGAGAGATCAAAACAGTGATGATAGAGAATCATTGATTGGCTGCCTCCTACACACCCCACACTGGGGATCGAGCCCACAACCCGGGCATGTGCTCTTGACCGGAATTGAACCCGGGACCCTTCAATCTGCAGGCTGACACTCTATCCACTGAGCCAAACCAGCTAGGGCTAAAATGTATAACTTTTAAAAGAAATATTAATAAATATTACTTGTTTAATAAGTTTTAAAATATATTAAAGTGACGGTTGACATTCAAAATTGTTTTTCTGTGTTTAGTAAGGAATAAAGTTGTCAATTCCTTTTATTCTCTAAACACTCCTTTCTCTGCCCTCTTTTTCGATCTCTGCTGAAATTACATCTGCACTTGGCTCTCTCTCCTTTATAAAAAGGAGAAGCTCAACTTCGGACCCAGGCTGCCCAACCTTCCTTCACTGATCCACTTTCCGCGCAGGCTGGCCTGGGGCAGGTGAGGTGATAGGGAGATTCCTCAGCCTTCTAGGAAGACCCCAGTCCCTACATCTTTTTCTATCTCTGCTGCACTATCCACCCTCTTTCTCCCATGACACACTGACCCCACAGTTCCCAAAGCAAGATGAATGATGATCTAAGTCCAACTATCTCTGGTTTCATCGACACCATGGAACAGCCAACTCGTCTACACAAAAGGGTGGTTTCAGCTACAAATTACAGGCAGATGGCTGAGCATCTCTTGTGCTACTAAAATTGAGACGGTGTGTCCAAGTCAAAGGCAATCCTTTGAATGAATGTCATTTACTTATGTAGGAGTGCATATGTATGTATGATGTGGTGGCTAACAGTGACATTGTGTTCATAAGCATGGAGCTCAGGACATTTCTATGTCTATACATCTATATGCATACATATGTATCCCATGACATAAATAGAAAATTGTTTTCGTATTTAAATCAGAAAATAAACGGTTTAAATGGGAGTTACCCAAAAATATTAGTTAGCATTTTTAGTAATAGCTCAAGATAAATTTAGTTCCTTTATAAGGAGCTTGTGATTGAGAAAAAGACAGGTCAAATCGACACCTATAGAGATAGCTTAGGGAAACCTAGGCTTTAGTATTTGGGGGAGAAACTGGCCTTAGAATCTGCCCACTTAACTCAAGCAAGGATTATTCAAAGTTCTTCTTTAAACAGCAGGGTGGCTAAGACCTGATGATGATTATCTTTAATTCATTATGTGTTACTAAATTGCAATGTCCCTCTCAATTATTAACTAAATATTCCTGTCCTATGGTGAGGGAGAGGGGGAAGTGAGAGAGTCAGAGGCCATCTGGCCTCAGCCCCATATTTATGAAGGGCTTTGAATTTATGAAGGCTTTTGACATTACCTCCAAAGGAGGCAACACAAGGAGATTCCGATAGGATTGAAAGAAAACATCCCTATCCAAATTTAAAATTAAGTTCCATGGCTAAACAACACCACCTTTGGTATACTCTGGACTTTAAAATTAAATCCTTTAATTACCTTCTAACTAGCATAGCTATTTTGTGTTGTAATTTTCTTGTTGAAATGAAAACTTTTGAAACACAACAATTTTTTAAATCTCGTTTTAGGGTTAAAAAAATGCTTAATATATTCTGGAAACCTCAAAAATGATGGAGGCAGCCTGGATCTCTTGCCACCTTTGAGAAGCCCTGTATTACTTGATTAGAATGCAAGTATTTCCCTGAGGTAACAGGAGCATTTTTGTATAAGGCACTCTAGACTAAGAAATCCAGAAAAAAGGGAAATTGTAGGAAAGACTGAATTGTATTTTCCAAATGAAAACTCTAGGCATTCCTCCCCTTCCCCTACCCCTACCCCCAAAACTGGGTTTTAAGCACTTCAAGGAGTCTTACTATTCCAGAATGTTGATGCATATTTAAAATATGCAATATTTGTATCTTTCAAGCATGCTTTCTCAATCTGAAGTCACTCACATGCCTTGGCAACCTGATAGAAATGGCACGTGTGTGCAGTTGCGAATGTTCGGCCAGAGTAGACTGCATGAAGAACAAGGGTTCTTGGACACCCCCGGCCTGGAGCACTAAAATAAAGCCTGATATATAAAGCTTCTTTGAAAGACAAGTCTTACAGAGAGGTTTTGAAAGAGAAAGCAGTGACAACCGAAGCAATAGGAAAGTCAGCTCGCATGCGTAGAAGGGAAGGTTAATTCTGGGTAGCAGGTTACAGAGGTCATTATTTGAATTATTGATACCTTGCAAAGGACCTTCTTCCTCTTGCCCAGCTCCCATATTGCATTGCCTCCTGGGGAAGCATTCATAGTTAGCCCAGCACAACCTCATACAGCATGTGGGAGACAATTATTTTGGTTCCTCTTAACAGATTGAAATATGAAGCCAGCTATGCAATTGGGGTGGGGAAATTATAACCTTTGAGACCAATAGGATGGCCTAAGCGCAGTTAGAGCAGACTAGAGGAGAAGAGGCTACAATGGGCACCAAAGGTGAAAAGAGGGTTTGAGTCTGAATTCCATCTCTGCTATGGGGCTAATGTATTCCTAACGATCTTAA